TGCATACGGCCTGATTCCTGTAAAACTAGGGATATATAGGCAACTCAAAAGCTAGGGTGCGGCCTAACCTCTTCAAACCGTTTCGCTTGGTCAAAATTGGCCATCATATCTTTACCCGACAACTCTTTTATCCTTTCCGGGTAAAGAGGGGCAGCTGTTGATACCCAATTTTTCTCTATATATTTTTAATATGCAAAATAACTTCAAAATAGCATATATATATATATATATAAACATGTCCAAGTGTTTTATTATTTTTCCCATAATTTAAAGTTTAAATTGATTTATTTTCTTCCTTTTTATCCACAAAATCTCCAATAATTATTTCTAAAATTATTGTTTTGATAATTCATCCATGATATTTCTATATTTATGCCAAAATGTGGCTAAAGTAATTTTTACATGTTCTTACAGTTATATTTAGTATTTTTAAAGCTAAATTGCACATAATTACAATATTAGCCTTTTGAGGTTTAATTCTGTTTTATACGCATAAAATTGGATCCTGTATTTTTAAATTGTTAATTTGGTATTATAAATCATATTAGTACTTTCAATTTATTTTTCAGAAACTATTTACTGTCTTTTATAAATTAAAAAGTAAAAACTGGCTATTTAAATAACAGCCCCTTTTGTATTTCAATTATAGCCAAATCAAGACTCAATTCCCAGCGCAATTTTAATTAAAAACCGGACCCCAACCCAATTGAAAATCCACCAGACCCAAGCCCAAACCCGTAACCCCACCTACCCCATCCGATATTGACTGTTGAACATTCAGATCAATGGTCCCCATTCCCCTTTCCATAATTAAACCCAAACAACCCCCTAACCTAATTCATTTCCTACCAACCCGCCACCCTTGAATCCCTTTTCCTGTCCAATTCTCTCTGAAACCTAACTCAAACCCTAACCACTGCCACCCAAACTAACCCTAATCCCCTTAGATCCTCACTCAATCCATGGACTTCCATGGCTGTTTGAGACGTGTACTTGTCTCATACGTCTCCTGGTGGCCCGTTTTTGTGATTTCGTGGAAAGATCTCGAAGAGATCTAGTCCAGACCTTGCTCAACTTCTATCCATGGTCTTTTTCAGGCCATCCATAGCCGTTCGAGTCAGATCCATGGCTTTTTTGGCTAAAATTGGTAACGATCTAATGTTCTCTCATCTTTCTTTGGGTTCTCTGAAACCCTAGCTCTTGAGACTTGTTACTTCTCTTTAGATCTGTCTTCGATCTAGGTGTACCCATGGGTTTTAACCGACTTTTTTCTTCGTCTTTGCTATTTTCTAAAAAAACCTAGTTATAAACTTCCAATCTTTTTAGATCTGTGATGGATCTATGGGTTTCTTAAGGTTTTCACTTGTTTTCCTCAAATATTTCTCCGATTTCAGACAGTTTCTTTATTTTTCAAACTAGGGTTTCAAAACACTTTTGCAAAAACGATTTCTTTCTGGTTACTGTGATTTTTAGCATGTACGTTACGTGAGTCTTTCCTTTTGGCTCGATTCATTTTTTCCAGGAAACCCTAATAATTCTGGGTTCAATTCGAAGTTTGAATTTGTTTGCGGTGTGTTTGCATAACTATCATGAGCATTCTGGGCTTTATGTGTGTTCTATATGCTCTTGTGCTTCCTGTTTTGATTTATTCTTAAGGTTTCTTTGATTTTGTCCAAACTCTTGTCATTTATGGGTCCGACCATTTGTTTTACGAATTGTTCACATAATTTATGGCGATTCTACGTAATCTCCTTAAACCTAAAACTTTGATTTTTGTATTTTCCTTGTAACTCTGTACTGATTTTTTGAAATTGCTTCCTTACTTTTGTGATACTTTCCTTGGTTAGTACTGATTCCCTGTGATTTTCAATTTCATCCGTGATTCTTTGAACTAATTTTTAGAATCAAATCGTACTATGCCTTGTTTATGTGCTGTTGATTAATGTGTACTTTCCTTATGTTGAAACCATTCTGAACTTGGTCCTTGTTACATGCTACATTCTTTTACTATTCCTATTATGGTAAAATCAGTCTCACAGGAAATTCTTTTCCTTATTTGATACAACTTATACCCGTTCGAACTATGCCTCCTTAATTGAAGGGAGTCCGGGTCTTTAATTGATTCTAATTTGCATTATTTCTATAATTATGATAAGTTAGTGCTTGTTACCTTATTTTCCTGTCTGTTTTCAAAACTATAAATACTCTACCCTCTCTTCTTTAAACACACGAACAATTAGTTCAGAACACACACATACACACTCAAACTCTCTCTTCTTTCTCTACTACTTGTGCTACTGCTTTGTCTAGCCGGTTGAAAGCCAATGCTAGACTGTGGAACCCTAATTGCTTTACCTTTTTCTGCACCTTGCTTCTTCAACTGGTATGTTCCTAGTTCAAATTCTGAAACTCAACTCTATGTGTTCCCTTGTTTGTCAATCCCTGTCTCTTTTTACACTGACTTAATGTCTCATGCTGTTAAATTGCACTTCTCGTTTACTACTTTACTCAGCATGCTTAAAATTCTGCTCTCCTTTGTTCAAAATGTAATTAGCATGTTTACTTGTTCCTGTTTATGTCCCTAAACTAGTATGTCTCCTAATGTACTTGATTAACCCTAATTCTTGACTAATTATGTGTTTCTGATTTGGGTCCTCTATGTCCCCCGCCCCTACTTCCCTGTTTGTAACTGCTGAAGCATGTACTCCTCTCTGAACTTGTTCTGTGTGTGTTGTTGCTCCTATCCCTTTTCCCTTTCAAAAGTTGCTTTCACTAAGCAACTCTTCTGCTATTTTACAAACTTATTTCAAACATGCTGTTTTCAAAACTGTTTTCTAACTCAACACCTTTAAATCTATGTCAAGCACTCTCACATACACTCTTAGGCTACTAGGTTCTGCCCCTTTGTGTGAGCCTTGCCTTGTGACCCTAAAGCTCTCTATGAACTTGGACATAAGAGCTGGCCCTTCCACACTGCACTCACTCTATTTGGTTATGCAATCTGAGTGTGAGCACTGCCCGGGATCTTTTGAGGTCCTTAGGGAACTCTAACGCACCTAGATATGAGAAAGGCTACAGAACAATATTAGCATTTGAGGTATTTTATTACATAACTTGGAGAGGAAGTCAGAATGAGGCTTCCTATAATTGTAACTTCTTATTTTGCATTTCTCATGTAATTCTTTCACATGGTCTGTAATAATTTTTAAACAAGTATTGGGTTGACTAGTGAAAAGGTATGGGGAAATATGCATGCTATAGTTGTTAAAGGGTAGAAAACATGTTACCAGGGTTATATTCCTAATTATGCAATAGAAACCATGCTTAAGATTCATACGTGCATTAGAAATCATATTCTTAAGATTCATGTTTCCTGCTTCAGCATCTCATTCATTAATCAATGTTTTATGTCTATCGTTTAGAAATCCTGCTCCTAGGGCAATAATAACATTGGTATAAAAAGTTGTTACTCATGAAGTTGTATTCCAACAATTCTGCAACTTTTGTGTACATTTAGAAATCATGTCTTAAGGACTCTGTTTTTCGACAACCCTGCCATTTGCATGTGCATATTAGATATCACGTTCTAAGATCTTTTTTGCATTTTGTTTAAAACGCCTAGTTAATTACTGATTCATGAAAGGGTAGTAAGTAATAATTTTCATTGTTTTCTGAATAAAATTGGCAACAATCTCTACAACTAAAACTGCATGTTTTAGGTAAATAAAATAATCCCCAACTGTCTTAGTAACTCGGAATAACTACTGCACATTGCTTTACACCTAGGAAAGCCTTAGTTAATAACTTAAATAAAACTGGAACTACCTTTGTTTAATTATCAACTGTTAAAACAGCAGGTGAACGTGATTTAGACTTCTTTTCTGAGTCATGTAATAAATTCGGTTCTGATGTTATCACTTAAACACCATGCTTTAGGATTTTGAATTCAGACCTTAATTGTGTATGAGTCATGCTGTCTATGTGCATTATTTATGGAGGCATATCTGAGCCTTCTGCTTGTTTTATGTGTTTTCCTCCTTTAAATGCAGTCTTACTTGTTTTGTATGTCGCCTTAGTATTTTTCCTTTAAACCTGAGGGTCTGCCTAGAACCTCCTTATATGATAAGAGTCCTAAATTCCTCCGGGACTGATAGGAAGGGACGTGTAACAACATGCAATAAGAGTCGAGACCAACCTTCGCTTAATTACCTTTACGGGGCGGGAAATGGTAGATATCGATATGATGACCGGTGCGCTAATACCATGTGTAGCCCCTCTTTTGAGGAGTGTCATACCAGGTATTGCATTGATGTGATCCATATTACAAACAAACCTAGGACACCCCCCCCCCTTTACATTCATAAGCATGCTTTACATTGTAACTCTTTTCAAAATTTTGCCTTTCAATAATTGTTTTCAAACGCTTGTGCATTTAAACTTAAATCCCCTATTATTTGAGTCCTACTTATCTATTTGCTAATTGCACAAATTCACAAAAAATTGTCTGGCCGAGAACCATACTAGTGGATTCTAAGGGGTGCCTAACACCTTCCCCTTAGGATAATTTCAAGCTCTTACCCTATCTCTGGTTATCAAACATAGTTGTAGATGAACCTTATAAGTGCCCTAACGCACCTTAAAATCGTTAGGTGTCGACTCTTCAAAAATGCAAACCCCATTCCCAAAAGGAATGAGTTGTCACATACCCAAAATGTCATGAACCCGATTCCACGAGAAAAAAAGGGAGCGCGACAAATATGTCTTCTGTATTACCGCGTGCAACCCGATCCACAAATATATATTTCTATTATTTAGAAGCCAGACTTGGATGTACGAACACGGTATTTCTGCAATTCTGACTTTAGTTAGGGGTACAATTGTACTTTAAATTCATTACCTTTTATTCCAGAAGACCACACGTGGACTTGACTGTAGAGCACGTGTCATACATCTTAACATGAGCACCATATTCAAAGCCTTATTCTTTGTCACTAGGTTGTATCGCCTCTTTCTGTTTTTTCAAATTATCTCCTCCTTTCTCTTCTGTTCGCTGGGTGAGTTTTTTCTGCACTACTTCTTGGTTGATTTAAGTTTTTTGTGGGTAAGCATCACTTGAGTGTTCAATTTACGAATTTGTCAATTTTTCTGTTTGTTTCGGATGTGACTTCTCCTTTTGCTGGTGAGTTATTTGTGTAATTTTTCTCTCTTTATTGCAGCTTTGGACAAAAAATGGATGGCGAAATAAGAATGTGACAGAAATCTGTTCATCGACGAAGGTCGGCTTTCTTAGTTGTTGTAGGTATATTTTTGGTCTCCATTATTTTAATTTATGCAACTTGAATGGAGAAGTTGTAGCTCCTTATTGAGGTATTTTGATCTTTTTGGTGTATTTGCTTATTTTTCACTTGCTTTGTGCTGTTTTCTTTCCCTTTAGTCTATTTTTTAGTGATTCATCAATATAAATTTTATATGTGACTACATTTTCTTCATGTTCCTTTTTAACCTTGAATGTTTTGAATATTTTTCATATATGTTGATGCATGTTTTGTGGCCTTTTCATTTCTTTGTAGGTGCTCCAGATTCAGTGGATCCCTTTTTCTGATTACGGAGCTGGTAGTAATTTTCTTGGGGTCTATTTTACTTTCGTTCTAGGTACAACTACTAAGAGACATGTAATATCTGTTGTAAGAATAGTGCATAGAGCCTCATTGGAGAAAGACTTGAACTTGCTCGACATCACCAACAGGTATTGATGTCTAATTTATATTTGTCCTAAAATATATAACAGTTGTATATAAAATCATTCAAAAAATAGTTCAATATGTTTTCATAGCTTTCAAGGTTGTTGATGTGTGAGTTCACATCATAAGCTATTTCACCTAATTGTAGCTAAAAAAATAAACTTGCTTGAGATGGAAAAAGAACATAGCGTAGCCTCTCAATTTACTCTTTTCCCTGTTGAAGTTGGTTTGTTTTGAGGAAAGCCTGAGTAGGTGAGACTATCAACTTCTCTGACAGGATTTCTTCTGTGCGTTCATAGCAATCAAATTTGTTTTTCCCCTTTTTGCTTTGAGGTTGGTCTATCATATTAAGTTGCTTACTTCCAGGACGATGAAGTTCTGTTGCAACCAAAAAAGAAAAAAATGAAGGATAGAGCTTGGGTATTCTTGTGACTTACCCATCACATGAAAGAAAGGTATGACTTTGGATGAACTTGAGTTGATTATGGAGTTTGTTTATTTTTCTTTTAAAAGTTAAAGAGTGTAACAAAGGATAACATTACAAGTAACTTGAAAAAGATTGGAACTTAGGTCAATTGTCATCATCACAATATACTCGATTTGATGATCAAAAAATATTTGAGCAAGCAATCTACACTAAAATATTTAACTGGTACCATCATAGTGGCATTATATCAAAGAATTTCAACTTCTTAAAGAGGGATCGCATTAGCTAAGATCTTTGGAGAACATATTTATAGTGGGAAGGTAGGGATTGTACTAGGTAAGGCTTAAAAAAATGATAAGGAAAAGGCTACAAAATTTAAATTATCAGACTGAATTCCTAACTTCACAACAATAGCACACCGGGTTTGTGTTGTTGTTATGAAGTTAGGAACCCAATCTTAAATTTATTTTGAGGCCAAAAAAGTTCTCTCATGCCTTACAGGAACTTTTGTATGGCCTCTTTGCCTTACAGGAATTATTTCATGGATTCAAACTTTTACATTATAAAACTATAAAGTGTTATTTGAAAACAAGTCCTCATGGATTTCATTCTGTTTTATTTATGTTTATTTGCTTAATTGCATAGAGTCCATATTGAATCTCATTCAACATAAAAAGTAGTTTTTCTTTGAATCATCTATTTGGAGGTAAACCTAAAACGACTTGATGTAGGGTACAAAAGCATTTTATAATGGAGGGATCACTGATGTTGGATTCTTATTGTGCAGCTATTTTGGAGCAGATAAATATTGACAATTAAATCTCAAAATTAGTGATTCAGTGTTACAAAGCGGAGTTTATGTCAATGGAAGGAGTTAGATTAGCAAATTTCTTTGCCATTGTCAGTCTCTTCACAAATCTTTTGCTGCTTAGGTATCCTTTTTTCATTTGGCAAGAATTGGGTTACTTCTTTTGGTGCATTTTTTTCTTTATTTATAATGCATGCTGCTCTGTAGTCTCTGTTACTAACATTAGTGTGCCTCCTCTTTTATGCCTTTGGTCAGTTGGTTTTTGCAAGGTTTTTCCTATGCTTCCGTTGCTCCTTTCTGGGCTTATTTGTAAGTTTCTCTATTTATAGTGGAATTTGTTTATGGTGTATGCTCTCAATTCTGGCGAGTTTTCTATCCATTATTTATATTATTAAAACATATTTATTGGTAGTATAAATTTGATTTGTATATATTAATTTTCCTATTCTTTTCAATAATTTTGTGCTGGATTTTCTACATGAATATCATGGTTTGCCCATGCATGTTTGGTAATAGATGCATAGGCGCATGTAAGTGCTTTCTCTTTTAGGATCATTAAATTTAATTTTATTTTTCCTCTTTAAATTTTAAAATATTGCAACAAATCGGAAACTGAATGTTAGCCTTTCCACGGTACTTTTTAACTTTGTTGGTCGTTGAAATGGTGAAATATATATATATATATATATATTTTTTTTTTACATTTCTGTTGGATTTTCTCTTTAATATTATTCTGTTAGTGCACGGAGATGAAAATTCTGCTTTTTGAGTCAATTGTTTCCGAGGACTGTTCGTGCTACTGAATAGTTTTATGCGCTAATGTTGTCTTTTCCTTCTGGACCTTCTTCTGATGGAACGAGAAGAATACCACTATCGCCTCTTGGCTTTGCTTTCATATAATCCATTTGACTGAAACAAAGGTTAATAGTTCTCTTCGTTTCTCTTTTCAAAACTGTTCCTTCGTTTATGCATATATCAAAAGTTTTCTGCTTTAAGAATATTGATTAGAATGTTGTGAAATTAGTCTCAAAGCGCATTTTGAAGATTGTATTAAGCTAATTCTTTGTGTTTGAAAGATCTGTAAGATATAGTTAAATAGACCTGCATCATCGGTTGTCTGATATTATATGTTTTTCTTATGCCTTCACACTTCTTGCCTTTTGGTCCTTATTGTTTGTGGCTTATGTTGTTTTTATTAGGTTAATTCTTACACACATAAGCTAGAACTGTTTGATTTTAGGAGTATAAAGATATTGATATGCGGTGTTAACTGTTAAGTGCTCTTATTCCTTCTAAAATAGCAAATTATTGATATGTTTATTTCTTTATTGTACTTGCATGGCTGAAAGATATAAGAGTCTTATCGATGATTGGAAGACCTTTTTGGCCTTTGGAATTTTTAGTGGGCCTTATGACATGAGGTTTCTCATCAAGCCTTATTACAAGGAGAAGGTGCTGGTAAGGTGTGTGCTCTTCAGGGGAGAAAATGTTTCTTTATTATATTTTTGCTTTGTCAAAGCATGCATCTAGCTGAAATCTTTTAGTGGAATGACATATGAAATATATGTTACCTGCAGTGACTTAAAATAAACAAGCAGATGATGTTTCACTATAGTTGAATATGGTTTCAATTTTATGTAGTTGGAGTCTTGGAGATATGTCCTTGGTATGTCATATATGTGTCGAAAGAAAAAAAAAGATGAAGAAGAAAGAGGAACCAGGGTCAATCAGAGTGTGCTAGCCTGAACTTTAAAGGATCAGACAAGAAAATTGTTTGAAGATCACTGTAAAGCTGGTAGTCTAAGGGCATGGTGTTTCCTCTTATATTATGTAGGTCATATATCCTATATATGACTGCCAAATCTACAAACGTGGTTCTTTCTGTAATACTTTCGCTTTATTTGAGATGGAAATCTGGTGGAACTCGGAATCAAGTTAGAAGAGAAGTAAAAATTTAAACAGGATGTTGCAAGGAAAATTTGAATTAATCTCAGACCTTCAAGTTAATTAGACTGACTCTTTGACCTTCTAAACATGATTCTCTTGATGAATCTACTTTTATTACCTATATGTTGATTTTGATTGGAATTCTTACCGTTCTAAGACGTCAAAGTAACTTCTTATGATAAATTTAATTTTGCTCATCACCTATGAGGTTTCATGAAGTTCTTACTCAAATTTCATATTTCCAAATAAATAATGTGAGTGATAATATGTGGCTTCATATTCATACTATTGTATAACTTCTACATAGATATAGTGCTCCAGTTTAACCAATTTTCTATTCTATAGTTTTTAAAGGTTGGCAAATTATTCAATTTGTTCTCCCTTTCCTCTTATAGATAATTAAGGGAAGGCTGCAAGGTGTTGACCAAAAAAGAGATGGAAGGCTGCAAGGTATTGCTAATTACCTGATTCGACTGTATAGAATGGTTTGTGATGTGTTGTGGTGAAAATTTAGCAAGCTACCCACTTTTGCTGCATTTGATGTGATATTTGCCGACTTAATAGTAATTTGATAATTTGCAGCAAAACCTATTCAGATATGCTTCATTATTGCTCAGCTACTGAAGCTGCATCCGGAGGAAGAGATGCAGAACAAGTGACAATAAAATTGGAAATAGAAGCTGAGGAAGCCAGTACACTGTGAGCCCGTTTAATGTTGTCGATTGTTTAATTCATTTGCATCTGTCCAAAAGATACTCAAGGTTTCTTGTTCTTCTTTTACACCAAATTTGAAGTATTTTGAGAAAAAATAGGAAGTTTCTACAACATACCTTGCTTCCTTTATTATTATAGAAAAAAGTGTCAATCCGTTGCTTGTCTATTACCCTTTTTCAGTTGTCACACCTATCTTTATTATACTCCTAACCAAAAAAATACATCGTTAGGTTTGTACATCATTTCATCATGGTATGATCTTGAACTTAAATATCTTAAAAGCTTCTTTCATCACTAAAATTTGAACCTAATTAATGATGTAGTTGATTGTTACTTCTCCAGGAGGATGAAGATTGGGAAGACCTGGAGTTGCCTCCCAGATCAAACTTGCTTCAGTATGCAATTGGAAAGTTCTGTTCTTTGGATCATAGTGAGGCCACAGAATTATTGCAACAACCACCCCTTTACTGGCTTATGAATAAACACGTTATTTTGTTGTATGAAATTTCAAAACTCGAGCATGAGGGAAGATTGTTATTACTAAGTATTCCCCAACCAGATGTCGTAGTATTGTTTTTTAATTTGTTTCAACGTAAATGGTTGTTCTTTAGTCTGTATCAATGTAAATGGGTGTAGATGAGATTTGTGTTTAACTTACAAGCAAGTGTGCATATTCTCTTGAAAAAACAAGTAGTGTAATTTAGTTGTTTTTATAGTTATATATGCTATTGATTTTCAGTCTGCGTGAAATGACCTCCCCTTAACTCATTGGTCAACATTAGTGCTATAATGTCTGTACGTATAGCTACATGCTCGAGGCTTAGCTTCGCTTTAACTCAAACAATATAATGTGTTAAATTTTTATTAAGTACTCTTAATATTAAATGTTTAATTTAATTATTAATACTCATAGTCGTTTTAAAATTTATCTTTAAAGTTGAAATTTTGGTTTAGCTGCTGCACATATTTACCATTCTAATCTAAATTGATCCTTCCATGTTGGGCCCGTGTGTATTACCATTCTGTGCGTATTACCATTCTAATTTTCCATGTTGGGCCCATGCTTCGCATGAAACTCGATCCTATACAATAATATCAATATCCCTTACGTTATGCAATTCGATCCCAAACAATAATATTAATATTTGTTACGACGTGCATTCCGATCCCAAACAATAATTTCAATATCCGTTGTGATGTGCAACCTGATCCCAAATAATAATATTATGTATGCACGAAACTACATCCAATTATGGCGTATTTCACAATGAAGCGCAATAAGGGAATTAAACAAATAAAAACACAAAGCAGATAAAAATGAATGTCTAACATACGAAAACATAAGTCAAGTAGAGGCAGTTAAATAATAAATGCACGGGTACATGGAAATATAGAGCAAATTAAGGCATGTAATTAACAAATGCATGAATTTAATAGGTAAGGGCAAGTAACAACTAAATTATTTAACACGTGGTAACACGGAGTAAACGAAGGCATGAAGTAATAGAAGATAACAACTAAATATCCCAACCCGTATGCTTAATCCATGAAAACATATATACGCTCGTCACCTTGCTTATATGCGATTCTCACACAAAAATCAAGTACCAAAATCAAGTACCAAATAGACCAATAGAGTCCTAATTCTCTTAAGTCAAGGTAGGTAAGCCTAACAAACAAGAATGTGATAGAAATAAAGACTTGTCACGACCCGGATTTCTTACCGTCGGGACCGTGATGCCGCCTACCATCGCACTCACTAGGCAAGCCAACGTTAGAGTTATATTCACCTTTTCCTTTAAATTTTCATAATTTAAATTAACAAAGCTAATTCAAACAGAAATAAATGCGGAAGTATATATAAAACCGGTTATCTATAGGCTATTAAAATACTGAAGCTATTATCACCCAGAAATTGGTGTCACAATCCACGAACTTTCTACGAATTACTACAAATACTAGTCTGAATGAAAAGTACATCTGTCTCGACAAAAAATAAGCAGAAATGTAGAACATAGGAGGGGACGCCAGTGCCTGTGGACGTCTGCAGGACTGCCTTGGGTCTCCTTGATGAATGCTTGCAACCGACCTCTCGATCAACGACAACTAGCTTCAAAATCTGCACAGAAAGTGCATAGTGCAATATCAGTATAACCGACCCCATGTACTGGTAAGTGCCGAGCCTAACCTCGACGAGATAGTGACGAAGATAAGGCGAGACATTTACAATATAACCTGCATACAGTTAATAATAAAGCAAAAGGAAGTACGGAACAAAATGGAATAGCAATTTACAGTAAAAATAAATATGGAACTCAAATATCTTGCCAGTACTCAGTTGTAACCAATCCTTAAGAGAGTTACAATGCTACAGAATAGAATCACAGCAGAGGAAAAATACATAAACAACAAAAATGATGCGGCGCGCATCCCGATCCCACCGTATAATCAGTAACAATATGAAATTTTACCCTTATTACCCTTTGTTGCAGCGTACAACCCGATCCCCCCAGTCCACCCTTATTATTCCTCAATATATCACCATTATTTCTCTTGTTGCGGCGTGCAGCTCGATCCTACCTATCCACCCTTACTACTCCTTGTTACGGCGTGCAACCCGATTCCACCAGACAATCACATTTCACCCTTATTCCTCATGTTGCAGCGTGCAACCCGATCCCACCATATCAGTACCAATCACACAATAAGAACAAGTATTTCACAACTTAGCTCAAACCCTCCACAACATTTATGCCTCAACCAAATCAAACGGAAATCTATACAATTATGAAATCTCATCAATTATTACTACACAGCGAGACCAACCAAAATGTATCTTAAAACACCAACAAACCAACTTAAACCAATAGTGTAATACAATGAAACTACGGAACAATTAATACTTTCAATAAAGTAAACTACATCTAACAAGAAGCAATTAGACATGGAAGTATCAATAAGCATGTAGCAATTAATAGGAAGACAACATATTAGGAACGGGGACGGGAACAAGCTAAACAAATAATTTGGTGGCGCATAGATACTCGTCACCACACCTATATGCCACACACATGGAATTTCACATAGTAACTAAGTCGAGGATCCCCAATCCCTCTAGTCAAAGATAGACCAAACACTTACCTCAATCCAACGGGCAATTCAAAGCTCAATTACCGCTTTACCTCCCGATTTCACCTCCAATCCACTCGTATCTAGTCATAATTAACTTAATAAAATCAATTATCACTAAAGAAATCAGTTCAAATGCATAAGAATAAGTTTCCCAATATTTTTCCCAAAAAGTCAAAAACCGACCCGGGCCCACTTGGTCAAAACTCGAGGTTCGGACCAAAACCCATTCACCTATTCACCCACAAGCCCAAATATGTAATTAGTTTCAAAATCTGACCTCAAATCGAGGTCTTAATTTTAATTATACAAAAATCCCTAACTCTACCCAAACCCTCAATTTCCACCATGAATACCTTAGATTTTTGGTTGAAAATGGATGAAACGCAATGAGTAATTGGAAGAAAGTAGTTTAGAATCATTTATCAACACTTTGGGGAAGAAATTGCCTCTTGAAAATCGCCTCTAAGTCTTCTAGTTTTTGAAAATATAAAATAATGGCCAATTGCCGTTTCTGCTCCTGTTTTAAGTGCTGGGCGACAGTGTTCATCAGGATCATGTGAACACTGTCGCGTTCGCGAAGAGCAGCCTTACCAGGACTTATGTCATCGCGGGAATCACTATGTGTTCGCGAAGGTTTAGCCCGCCTTACCTTTACATTCGCAATATGGGGTTTGCGTTCGCATAGGGTTTCCCAGGTCCCCTGATCAGCCTTCCTAAAGCTACGCGTTCGCGGTCGACCGGTCGCGTCCGCGTAGAGCAACTCCCCCCAATGCTTCGCGTTCGCGACCCTGGTCTCGTGTTCGCATAGAGTGAACCTCCCCCAGCCCAGTTTCCCCTTTGCGATCGCGAGAATGGTTTCACGATCGCGAAGCACAATGTATCGGAATACCAGCTGCAACAAAACACACCATATTTTTTACGTGTAAATCATCCCATAGCCTATCCGAAACTCACCCGAGCCCTCGGGGGCTCCAAACCAAACATGCACAGAATTCTTAAAATATCATACGAACTTGCTCGCGCGGTCAAATCGCCAAAATAACACCTAGAACTACGACTTTAGCATCAAATTGCATGAAATATTCAAGAAAGTTCAAAAGTTCTATTTTCTCAATCAATGGTCCGAATCACGTCAAATTAGTCCCGTTTCTCACAAAATTTCACATATAGGGTATAAATATCATAACGGACCTATACCGGGCTTCGAAACCCCATAATACGGACCCCGTATCAACAAAATCATTTATTAATTAATTTCTTAAAACCTTTATAATTCCAGTTTAATAATTTTCATCAAAAATTCATTTCTCGGGCTAGGGACCTCGGAATTTGATTCCGGGCATATGCCCAGGTCCTATATTTACGAGTCCGGGTTCGTTTACTCAAAATGTTAACCGAAGTCTACTAAAATCACTTTTAAAGGCAAAAATTATTATTTTCTCAAATTTTCACATAAAAGTTTTCCGGAAATGCGCCCGGGACGCGCACACAAATCGAGGAGAAGTAAAATGAGGTTTATAAGGCCTTGGAACAAGGATTCAAGTTCTAAAACAGAAGATGACCCTTTGGATCATCACATTCTCCACCTCTAAAACAATCTTTCGTCCTCGAACGGACATAGGATAGTACCTGAGCCAGTGAAAAGATGGGCATATATGCTCTGCATATCGGACTTGGACTCCCAGGTAGTTGCCTCAACAGGCTGACCTCTCCACTGCACACGAACCGAAGGATACCTCTTTGATCTCAACTGACGAACCTGCTGGTCCAGAATAGCTACCAGCTCCTCCTCGTAGGTCAAGTCCATGTCCAGCTGGACAGTGCTGAAGTCCAACACGTGGGATGGATCGCTGTTATACTTTCGAAGCATGGACACATGAAACACTCGATGCACTACTGATAAACTGGGTGGCAATGCGAGCTCGTAAGTCACCTCACCCACTCACCGAAGAATCTCCAAAGGCCCAATGAACCTAGGGCTTAACTTGCCCTTCTTTCCAAATCGCATCACACCCTTCATGGGTGACACCCGAAGAAACACTTTCTCTCCGACCATGAATGCCACATCATGAACCTTACGGTCGGCATAACTCTTTTGCATGGACTGAGCTATAGGAAGTCTCTCCTGAATGATCTTAACCTTATCCAAGGCATCCTGCACTAAATCTGTACCCAATAACCGAGCCTCCCCGGGCTCAAACCATCCAATCAGCGATCGATACCATCTACCATACAACACCTCATAGGGAGCCATCTAGATGCTCGACTGATAACTGTTGTTGTAGGCAAACTCCGCTAACTACATGAACTGATCCCAAGAACCTCCAAAGTCAATAACACAGACGCGTAGCATATCCTCCAAGATCTGAATAGTACGCTCGGATTGTCCGTCCGTCTAAGGATGAAATGTTGTGCTCAACTCAACCCGCGTATCTAACTCACGCTGTACTGCCCTCCAGAAAAGCGAGGTAAACTGCGTACCTCAATCAGAAATAATAGACACGGGCACACCATGAAGGCGAACGATCTCACGGATATAGATCTCTACCAAACACTCCGAAGAATAGGAAACTTCCACAGGAATGAAATGCGCTCACTTCATCAGC